ACCACAGTCCTCTACCTGTGTCATGTTTTTAGTTTTTCCATAGCATAGGAAGTTCTCAAGAATTTCTTTGCGACAGTACATTTTACCTACAACAATTTATTTTAAGTAAATTGATATAAGATAATATTTAATGGTCTTATTACTTGATGCTATTAAAATACTTAGTGAAAACACAATAAATACTAATTTGGGCATTAAATATGCTACCACTATTCTAGTGAACAACTCAGCTTCATAACCTTGGGCTCTCAGTATCTTATTACCCATATTCACTAGTAGCAAAGTCCCACTGAGTCTTCCAGTTTAATAGTTTTCATATGTGTCCCATACTTTTGTTCTCACTACTGTTACCCTAGTTCAGGCAAACATTACCAACACTCAGATATTTGCAAGTTCTTCCTAAGCAGTTTCTCCAACTTTCTCGCCACTTTCAGACCTTCTTATACCTCCAAGCCAAAAGCACGACTCTAACCTCTGACCATGTAGCTCATTCTTAAGACCCTTCTATAGCTACCCATTGCCTGAAAGCAAAAAAAAAAAAAAAAAAACAAACTCCTTGCATTTGAATTCAGTTCACTCAAGAATCTTAATCTCAGAAACACTCCTGAAAGGATTCCTAGTATGGTCTCAAACTACATTAAATCACAAAGACAGTCCCTTCCAACTTTAAAATTCTGTGACAGTTTTCCGATTTTATCTCTTGCTATTTTCATCCTATTTATCTGATACTTCAAAAAAATGTTTACTGAATATACCTCACCGTTTCCCACCTGAAAGCTTAGCGGAGAGACTGTTTCAGACAAAATATAAAGTTATTATTTTTTTAGGATAAAAGAAAAGGAAACTAAGATGTATGAAACATCTATTATCTTGCCAGGTAAAAAATCCAAATGGTAAGATTTAAAGGAATTCTATAAAGAATACCTTGGAAAAGCAAATAATTTTTAAAAACAGTCATCTGTTTATCATTTTAATAGTCTAAATTTTTATATCTAAAGTTTATTTAAAATGAGGACCATCCATAGTTATAAAAAATGCACACTAAACTAAAAAGAAAATTCCATTTTTACATTAATCTGCTCAAATTCCTAAATGTCACTCCTCTCTCCTCCTAACCATCCAACCATTTCAATACTATTCTCCTCACTAGACTAAGAGAAGATAAATACCTACTTACATAAACGGCCCTCAAAAATCCCTTCATAAAGATATTTTCTCAAAGATCACAAAAAGATGAACAAAAAGTAAGACAAACAGCAGTCACTTGCTTATGGTCCTGCTCTATGGATTTCATCAAAGCAACTGTTTGATTCCTTGGACGTGATTCCTTTTAGGCCCTGGGCACATGGAATATCTGTTTTCATAGCATATCAATGATGAATCACCACATTTTAATTCAGACGTTTTAATCTTTCCTTCAGTGTATTATTCTGAATCAGGATGTGGCCTCAATTGTCTCACCTTAGGTAAGTTTTTCTAAAATAAAGTAGGCGTTATAAGTCAAGCAGTTCTACTGCCTGTATCTGCCTTTAATAAAGGCTCTGAAACAGTAACAACAAAATCTTTCTTATAAGCAATGATCCTGAGCCTCTCATATTACATAAAATATCTTCTCATATTACTCCAAAGATCACAAAGTACATGTGAATTTTGTGAAATACAAGTCTGCTTACAAAATACACAAAGCCAAATGCTTTTAAAACTACTACCAACAGACTGCAGTTCAATAGTATTTAATGTACGTAATATTGCCTATCAATTTTTGCCCAAACATCTAACAATCCTGCCTTGAAATTAAAGTTACTTTGAAAAATATATACAAGTTTTTTTTTCCTTCCTTCCTTCCTTCCTTCTTTCCTTGCTTTCTTCCCTCCTTCCTTTCCTTCACAACTTTGGACTGAAAGAATCATTCATTGCAAGTCTGCTAATAACAATACGGAACCCAACTTTGGGAAATCTATTCATTTCACAATTAAGCCTTCATTCTATAGTCATGGGAACTTCTTAGTTGACATCCCTGAGGATATCTGGGCTAATATGAATAGACCTGGTAAGTGTTAACTTGATAACACCATAGTATTGGCTTTCTACCTTTCCCCCTATTAAGTAATGCATCAAGCACCATGATTCTCTAAATACATCATGAAGGTAAATCATTCAGACTAGCTAGTGTGCATACATCACATTTCCACTGCTAAACAGCCCAGATTAGTCTCCCATTGTAAAGCAGACTGCACAACCTAGTATACTTCAAAACATACTATAAGAAATTGCTCATTTCTCAGTAATTTGCTAATTATTTTGAGCTACTTGTGAACCCGAGATCACTAACATTACTTGAAGGTTCCCATCCATATTCTGGATATAAAGTTTGCTCAGAATTTAACCGAATAAGGCTAAGATTTAAATGGATTTTCCAGAGACAACTGTTAGGAAAATTCTCTTTTTCAAGTTGGTCTTTAAAATGTGTCAGAGGAGGTATGGTGCAGTGGAGAGAAAACTCTGCTCCCAATCAAACCCCAGTTCCACTGTTCACTAGCTGTGTGAGTCTGGGAAAGTAATTCAGTCTTCCTGAGCCACAGGTTCCTTCTCTGTATATTGGATATAAAAATATCTACCTCACAATGTAGTTGTGAAGATCAAATGAGATAATCCATGTAAAAATACTATGCAAGGTACAGCACGCTCCCTAAAAGTCAAGGAGCTCAAATTCCAGAGGAGAAGAAAACATTACTTAATTTAATAACTATAATACCATGGAAGACCAATTGATAGAAAAAGACATTACGTTTGGTAAAGTAGAGAGTAAGCAAAAAAACAAGGGAAACCCTCCATGACATGGATTGACACAATAGCCACAACAATGTACTTAAGGGTGACTCAACGATCATGAAGATGGTACAGGACCAGGCAAGCTTTTGTCCTGTTACACATAAGGTTGCCCTAAGTTGAAGCCAACTCTACGGCAACTAACAGCAACAACATAACGCCATGAGATAAGTGCTAAAATAGGTACTCTGGGAGAAGAGAGGAGGGAGCCTGCATCTCAAACTAAGAGAATAGGGCTCATGGAAGAGGCTAACTCTGGCTGACTGTGGGATAAACAAGGGATGGATGAGCTGGACTTCAACCAGTGTGGAGGAGGGAGCAGGGGAGCTGCAGAGGGAGCTGTGAGAGAAAGGGAACAACGTGAACCCAGGCACACAGGCAGAGGGGGGCATGGGCCTTTGGGAACTGTGGGATAGAGCCTGTGGGAGTGTGGGGGGAGATGAAGGCAGAGAGGAAGGCAAGCACCAGATCAGGAATAGCCTGTGAGCTATGCCAAGATATCTAGATTTTATCCTGCATGCAATGGGAAGCCATTGAAGAGAAATATCAAAAGAAAAAAAACCAGAAAATCCACACTTCTGGTTTACAAGTCTTTCCTGAATACTATGTAGTCTCTACATTAACTGTGTGCTCTTGGACAAGAAATCTTTTGAAATAGAGGTTCTAATCATAACTATTAAAACAAATAGTAAAACCAGTTGTCATCAAGTTAATCCCGACTCATGGCTACACCACGTGTGTCAGAGTAGAACTGTGCTCCACAGGGTTTTCAAGGCTAGTTTTTTGGAAGTAGATCACCAAGCCTTTCTTCCAAGCACCTCTGGGTGACTCGAACCTCTAACCTCTTGGTTAGTAGTCCAGCACATTAACAATTTATACCACCCAGGGACCACACAAATAATAAAATCTATTTATTAAGTCCCTCTTCTGTGTCGTACATTGCTATTTATCTTCAAAGCACAGCCACAATGTTATTACCCATATTTTACAGATGAGGAAACTGCGACTCAAGAAGGTTAAATACCTTGCTCAAGTTCAAAGAATTAGTAAGTAGCAGAACTAGCTTTAGAAACTGGATTTGCCTATTTGTTGCTCCACTATACACTAACTTTCTGATACATTTTATATGCTAGATGAGTTACTACTGACATGCAACCAAAACTTCAGAGAAAAATAAAACATTCATTTTTTTTCAGTTAAATGACAATTTGACTCCAACTACTTATCAATATTATACAACATTATGAAATGTGCTTAATGAGAATTTTTTTAAATTCTTACCTAAAGTATTACCTCTCAACTATCTACATGTTTCATTACTCTATGTAAATCACGTATTTATTTTTTAAATCCTGTCACATATAGACTGTATTGCAATAGCTGTTACTTTACATCTCAACCCCAAAGTCAAGAATGTATTCAAAATACATTTCTAATTAAAGAGAAAATTTCAGAAAGAAAGTCACCTTGCAATCTTTATCATAACTGACTCTAAGCCTATAGCATTTAAGTAATATTCTAAGAACACTGCGCAGTACTGTCCATAACCTTAAAATTACTTGAAAATACAGTTTCATAAGTAGTATCAAGTATTTGCCATAGCCTTATTTCTTCCACGCTAACTAACTTTATCCATCTCTGAAATTTGCTTTATCAACAAAGGTGGAAAGTCTGGTTGCTTTCAAAATACTAGATTGTCAGTCTCCCCAAGAAGCACTAATAAAATGCAGACAGCAGTTATTCTACACAAATACAAGCGGCCAAAAGAGCATTCACTTATAATAAGCCTTTAAATACTAATACCATTGCTTTCTATTAGGGCAAAATAAGTCTGTACCTTTAAAAGAAGCTATGTGAAAAGATACAAAAAATGCAAACACTGCCAAGCAAACTATGGTTAACCTAATTTTTACTGAAGAAAAAAAAAAAAAAAAATTCATACACTAGAGTAAGAAACTGAAGATAACCAATTTCTTCCAGGTGTTCCTTATTTTCCTAGGGAGCTGAGATAGCAATAAAGACATTTAAGTATATTGAAAGGTGTTACAATTGGGAAAACAGATATACATAAAAATCACCATAATACAGACAGAAATCAATAGAATTCGTAAATGGGTGAGGGAAAGGTCTCCACAGTTTCTCTGCATGTTACTCTATGCAGTCTTAATTACCTTGCAGTGAAATCTGGAGATCCTCGATGCCCAAGGAAGCCTGTTCATCTTCAGTAGGAAGCACAGTACTAGATGCCATTCTTTGACTCAATGGAGATTATATCATGTCCATCGCAGTTAAAGAAGTGAACTAAAAGGAAAAGGGATAAATGTTAGTAACTTTGCAGCTCTGCGTTTCTAATAAATATGCATTGCCAGAAAGTAACAGTGACCAAACCCTACCATCTGAAAGAGGCACAGCTTCCTAGTGAGTGTTTTCTTAGTTCATGAAGACAAAGTGACTACGCCTTCTTTTTGAATCATAATCAAGATTTGCCCTGTGACCTATTCATGCTATTTGGAGTTGCTGACAGAACTCCAAAAGAACTAGCATTGTAGATTCTATACTAGTGGTGAAAAAGAAAGCCAAGTGATTAGATTCAATAACTTACCCAAGAGAAAGTAAAGATGACACAAACCCCTATCTTAGGCATTTGTGTGCATGTTGTTGCTAATCTTCAAACCACAAGGATTTTCTTTAAACTTATTATTTAACTTATTTCCTTTTCTGCTCCATTTAAGTGTTGCCATTTACTGGAAACAGTAACAGCTGAGCCTGCATAGCTTGCAAAGTGAAACTAAAAAAGCTAATACATCAAAACAACTATTTTGAAGAGTTATCTCATATGGAATTATTTTCTCAAGGACATACTTTGCCACCTATACTTCTCTTTCCCTAACCCCGCCTTGACTTTTAAAGCATCCTTCCAGTAAGGGCAATTCTTATTCTGCAACTCTTTAAAAGTATTGCTTCATACATGTAAATGCCACAATTAGTATTCTGGGGGCTGAGAATAAACCTTTGACTTCTCCCATACAAATGATGACTTTCTTAATAAAATTAACTGCAGATATAAAAATATAAAATGTATTAGAGGATGGACAAAGGAATGAATTAACTGTACAGATATGTGATAAAGCAAGTATAGCAAAACATTAATGGCAGAATCTGGGTATTGGGTATATATGGGTGTTCACTGTAAAATCCTTTATTTTTGCTATATGTTAGAATATTTTCATAATAAAATGCTGGGAGGAAAAACTGAAAAATAAATAAACCTGAGGTCAAGAGCTACATAAAATCATATTAAATGTTCAACAAACCACTTTTTAAAAATGCAAAGAATAAGAATCATAAAAAAAGTTAAAGCTAGAGTAAACTTCAAAAATCTTTTAATCCAATCTTACTCTGTTTATCATCAAAAAATCCCCCATGGATCACTGTTGTCAAAGATTTTGGTACTTACCAAATAACCTTTGTTTATTAATTAATAATTAATTTGTTTTATCCTCTTTAGTAAGCTCAACCAGAATCAGCCTGCGGTTAAGTTTTTTTGTTTTTTTTTTTAATAGCATTCGCTTATGATTCTTTTTATTTTTTATTTATTTTTTAATTGTACTTTAGATGAAGGTTTACAGAACTAGCTTCTCATATTAAAAAGTACACATATTGTTTTGCGACATTGGTTAACAACCCCACAACATGCCAACATTCTTTGCTTCTTGACCTTGGGTTCCCTATTACCAGCTTTCCTGCCCCTCCTGCCTTCTCGTCGTTGTCCTTGGGCTGGTGTGCCGCTTTAGACTCATTTTGTTTTATGGGCCTGTCTAATCTTTGGCTGAAGGGTGAACCTCATGAGTGACTTCATTACTGAGCTAAAAGGGCATCTGGGGGCCATACAGTTGATGCAGTAAGTGTTATTATACTGAGTTGATAGGATTCTAACCAAAAAGAAAATCTGTTTGCCGATCAAGGGAGGCCACTGCAGCCTGATCACCAACAAAGGTACAATTGTTCTCAGTTTTTTCATGTTTTGAGGATGTCCACTACTCCTTTGCATACCCTAGAGATGAACCCAAAGTGAAGACAAACCACTGCCTTATTTTGTCAGGAGAAAAACTGAACTCCAGAGCGAATTTCCTAAGGGCACTCACTATTCCACACCAGGGCTAAGACAAAGAGTAACGATAGTAGTAAATGCTTATATTACCACGTTGCCATCGAGTCGATTCTGACTCATAGCAACCCTATAGGACGGAGTAGAACTACCCCATAGGGCTTCCAAGGAGCAGCTGGTAGATTTCGAACTGCCAGCCTTTTGGTTAGCAGCCGCAGCTCTTAACCACTGCACCATCAGGGCTTATATGTAGGCACTGAGACACACAAATATCACACACAGTTGTCTGAGGATACGCAGCTAATAAGTGATGGAGCTAGGATTTGAATCCAGATGGTCCATGATCCTAACTAATACACAATGATATCTCCTAGAGCTAGCTAAAAATTTGCTATACCATCATTGATTCTTTTTTTCATTTGTTTGCTCAAATGGTTCGTGCTTGTCCATTAATGGAAAGGTTGGTAGTTTGAACCCACTCAGCGGCTACATAGGAGAAAGGCCTGGGGATCAGCTTCCATAAAGATTATGGCCATGAAAACTCTGTAGAGCTCATTCAACTCTATAACACATGGGGTCGCCATGAGTCAGAATCAATGGCAAAGGGTTTTGGGTTTTTTTTTTTTTTTGGTTACTCAACAACATTTATATGTACTAGACTCAGCCCTCAAGAAATTCAATATTCTGAGGATGACAAAGAACAAAATATTGCACTAAAATACTAGAGATGTATACAGAGGGTACTATGGGAGCAAAGGAGAAGGCACACGCCATACATAAAACTGAAGACAGATGTGACTGTCAGGAGTGTACTTGTTATAAAACATCATTCAATTCCAAACAGTCCCATTATCCTTAGCAGTATATGGATGATACCTTGAATTTGGTAGAAATGTCACTTGGGGATGGAAAAACACTAAATAGACAATAGATACATGATAACTTTGGTGAAGGGTAAGACAGTACACAATACTGGGGAAGCCAGCACAACTTGTCCAAGGCAAGGTCACGGAAGCTCCATAGATACATCCAAACTCGCTGAGGGATCAAATAATTGGGCTGAGGGCTATGGAGGACCATGGTTTCAGGGAACATCTAGCTCAACTGGATTAACATAGTTTATAAAGAAAATGTTCTACACTCTACTTCGGTGAGTAGTGACTGGGATCTTAAAAGCTCGTGAGCGGCCATCTAAGATACTCCACTGGTCTCAGCCCACCGGGAGCAAGGAAGAATGAAGAAAACTAAAGACACAAGGGAAAGATTAATTCAAAGGACTAATGGACCACAACTACCACAGCCTCCACCAGACTGAGTCCAGCACAACCAGATGGTGCCCAGCTACCGCCACTGACTGCTCTGACAGGGATCACAATAGAGGGTCCTGGACAGAGCTGGAGAAAAATGTAGAACAAAATTCTAACTCACAAAAAAAAAGACCAGGCTTACTAGCCTGACAAAGACTGGAGAAACCCCGAGAGCATGCCCCCAGACACCCTTTTAGCACAGTAATGAAGTCACTCCAGAGGTTCACCCTTCAGCCAAAGATTAGACAGGCCCATAAAACAAAATGAGACTGAAGGAGCGCACCAGCCTAGGGACAAGGACTAGAAGAAGGCAGGAGGGGACAGGAAAGCTAGAATAGGGAACCCATGGTCAAGAAGGGACAGTGTTGACAAGTTGTGGGGTTGTTAACCAATGTCACAAAACAATATGTGTATGGACTGTTTAATAAGAAGCTAGTTTGTTCTGTAAACCTTCATCTAAAGTACAATTAAAAAAAGTCACTGACAGTCACACATTATCATTCAATATTAATCAAATATAAGGTATCAAATATATGGGAAATAATCTAGATTTATTTATATTAAAAGTAAAAATAGAACAGTAAAGTACAAGCTGATAGCCAGAAAATGCAGAACTATTCCTGCGCTCAACTGGTATGTGGAATTCACTGCATTGTAAATAAACTTAATTTGAAGAATAAAGAATTTAGTATAAAATGGTAAAAAAAAAAATAATACTAATAATAATTCTAGGCCTTAAAATAAATGTCTGAAGGTTTCAGTTTTTAACAGTGAAAATTTATTAGCAAACAAGCCAATAAGACATAAAAATTTTTATTTCCCGGAGAAATTTCCTAGAACTTCCAAAAATGTTCATCAAAAGTAAAACCAAACTTTGAAGACTGAATTAGTTGGAAGTGTTAGATTATTGACCCAAATATTGTTTTAGTACAACTATTTTATCACGGCATGCTACAGAGGTCACGAGCATCTGGCTGAAGGCAATTTTTGATGAAGACATTTCCACATACATATTTGTTTCTGGGAGAAATGGTGATAAACAGTTGACATCTCCAGAGTGGAATTTGCTTGCCAAGTGTTGTTACCTTCCATTAAGTCAGCCTCTGACTGACGGTGACTCCATGCACAACCAAGTGAAACGCTGCCCATAGTCAATTGCAGATCAGACCAATGTGATCCACACAGAGTTTCCATTGGCTGATTTTTGGAAGTTGATCACCAGACCTTTCTTCCTAGTCTGTCTTTGTCTGGAAGCTCTGCTGAAATCTGTTCAGCATCATAGTAACATGCAAGACTCCACTGACAGAAGGGTGGTGGCTGCACATGCGGCACACTGGCTAGGAATTGAACCCGTCTCCTGCATGGAAGCAAGAACTCTACCACTGAAACACCAAAGTAGACCCGTGAAAAACTGCAACAGAGTAGAAAAGAAAAGCTTTGTTGAGATTTCTCAGGATTTTTAATTGAGAAACTAGAAAGAGTGAGAGTTTGGCCAAGCATTAGCATGAATCACAAAGGTCGCTACCAACCACAGTCCACGAGGACTATCTTATCACTTGAGTCTGACTCCCCTGTGGGGAAGAAAGGGGCTGCTTCCTAAGATAGAAATCACAACAGAGGCTTTCCCACACGCTCTTCATAGCTTTTCTTTTCCTGTTCAAATAAATTTGTACACAATAATATAACTAATTGCAGGATTTAGAACTAAAATAAATGAGACTGTTCTTAAAAGTGAGTAACGGACCACCATCAGGCAAATAACCAAAGGCTGAGGAAAGAATTAATGTAGTAGCATTAAAGATTTTAAGATCAAGTGGAATAATGCAGAACTGTTT